CTAGAGGAAAACAGACACACAGGCCGAAGTCAGTAAGTGCATGACACATCAGCAGACCTTAATAAATGCAACAGCTAATGACCTCTGCTTAACCAACATTCAGGACAAATGTCCCTCAAAGACTCAGATGGTGCTGTAGGTGGCAGTATACTTTTAATAAACCACTTCAGGTATTGGGTCATCAACTACAGTAGCTAAAAGTGACATTCTTGAAAATTCAATTAATTTTTAAGTATCACTGTAAGAGCTCTGATCAGACAAGGCAGCTCTGTGTTATCTTTAGGGCATGAATCAGGTACCATGAATGCATATTGGATGAGTCCTGTCTGCTGATAACAATGGACTCCAATGTCTGCCACATTTGTACCATCTAACTGAGGAATTAGTTTTCAGGAAGATATTTATATTCAAAGATCTTTCTCAATGAAGATCCAAGCATTTTCATCACTGAAAGACCATGCAACTTTTTTTAGTAAGGGGCAAAGAAGGAATTTGATCTGGGAATAAACCAATCTTCTATTGAGTATGTATGTACTCCCTCCCTCATGGAGGGGGTAGTTATAAAAAGTCTGCTGCAGTCAGCTGGATGGTTAGCTCATTCCCTGGTTTCACCAAGCAGATGGTAGGACTGGCTGCTATGAAACTGGTAAGAGATCCAGAACAACATCATAGGGGCAGCATGCAAATGAAGTCTCAACATTCTGTCCATAGCTCAGTCTTTAGTATATTTAGAAGTTACAATGTGGGTCCCACCACATGCCAGACAGATCATCAAAAATGTGGCCATTTGGGAAGAACAGTCTTCTCCCAGCAGCAAAATAAGGCAATGGAAGGAAGATGTAAGTCAAATGTGCCCAAATGTTTCCCAAGCAATGATGGTAATGTGCCAAAATACATGCAAACAAATAAAAAAAATCACAAACAAACAAAACTACAAAGCAACAACAACAAAAGAGCCTTATGGTTAGAGATCAGCTTGTGACAATCTATAAAGAGAATGATAAGTGCTACTAAAGATAAAAAAAAATCTGTTTTACTGGTAACACAACTTCTCTATTGGCACATTGGAATATTCAGAAACCAGAATGAGTTTGAGTTTTCTCCTCTGTTCTAGTCTTGTTTTGTTTGAGGTAGTCACTATGTAGGTCAGGCTGGCCTCCAGCTAACAATCCTCCTGCCTCAGCCTCCTGAGCACTAGAATTACAGGTATGTGCCAGCAAGCCTCCCAAGGCAATGGTTTTTCAGGACTACTATCCTTTGCTAGTTTAGTTCATGTCATAGAGTCAGAGCTCAATTCAAAGTTTCATCTCTTCAAAGCCAGATGTCCCCACTTTCTTGAAGTGGCTACTAAACATTGGTAGACCATATCACTAGCCCTGTCAGCATCCTCAGTGACCACTGGTAAACAAATAGTGAAGTCTAGTATGCATGGAAAACAGAGCAAATTCTAATTGAGAGTCACAGGAAACACAAACCAATTCATAGTAAGACGTTGCCTTATTTCGTACATTTAAAGGCAACTGAGCACCTCCCATGTAGTAGATCCAGTGCTGTGTTTTAGTGATGCACAATAAACACAGCAGACCTAATGACTGTGTTGGAATGATTTAGTTGAGATATCTGAGTCTCTGGAGAGTTTAATATGACAACAGTTTCAATACTGAGCACCACCAAAATGTGCATTCACTGAAGGAAATTACACATCATTTAAAACTTTCAGTGTCTGAGGCCATTAGTGATACTGATCCTTCAGGACTGGTCTGAGTCTATAAGGCAAAGGCAGAGAGGGTACCTGGTAATGCTGGTAAGTGGTACCTGTCTACCCTGTTCTCTCCCCAGTGGAATAAGTGTGGCAAATATTCTAAAACCTACAGCACATTTGACTTTGAAAAAGGAAATACTCTCTTTCAAGATCAAATCTGGGGGTGGGGTTGGGGGGAGGCAAGGATTCTGATTATTATCATCTCAATTCAATACCACACTGCAAGCCACAGCTAGCACTTTGAACCAGCAAAGCATGTGAACATTGTAAATATTACAACTAAGACAATAATGGCATATTAACAAATTATGGTTTCATAACTGGAAGGACAAAAATGATCCACCCAAATGTCTAGCTTAGTAGTATACCTTAGAAAGGCCACAAGGTTCCTAATAGGCTGGAAAACACTTTCAACAAATTTAAGGAAGACTATAGATTTAGTAAAAATTTAACTAAATTCCCAATGGATTTTTAGATTGATGTAAGAAGTTGAAGTTACAAGTTCTATAGGAAAACCAAAGTAGTCAAAATTGCCAAGATATGCCAGAGAAGGAGGTGTGGCAACTTGACGTAGTGGTAGACACAAGAAATATATGGCAACTAAGAGAATGGATTGAGACAGACAGAAAGATAAATATAAACAATATAAAAACAGCTCTAAATACATATGGAAATAATCTATATTAAGTTTTGCATTTAAGGTAAGGAGGAACAACAAGACCATTAGTTAATAAATAGTGCTGGGATATCTAGTTATCTACACAAACACAATGAAACAAATCAATTCTAGCTCATCTAAGGCTAAAATTAAGATGGGATATTTGTAAAATTTTCTTATGACAGTAAGCTGTGACATAAAAGTCTATACAACGGCACTAAAATGTTGATTAATCTAAATCAAAATAACAAAATCCATTTATCAATAATACCACAAAAGTGTAAGAAATGAAATAAAAACCTAAGAAAAGTATTTTCATTACATATCAATTACAAAGAATTACAACACAGCATCCAAGAAGCTCTCCAACAAATGAATGCTAAGAAGACAAATGATGGAGAAAATGAGCAGAGTAAATGGACAGCTTCCTGGATAACTATATAAATAATATAAATGGATAATTTCATTAAAACAAATATGGAGAAATCAACTTATATTCAAACACTATTTCATAGCCAAAAAAACTGACAACAATTAAAAAGTTAAGAAAAACTCCAAATTTTGACAAAGCTATTGATAGATTCATTCTTCCCCACTATTGATGAGGTTGAAAAATGACCAACTCTAATAATTCTGATTCACACTGTGATCCCATGGCAATTTCACAGATGGTGAACTAGACTTTTAGGAAAATTACCTAAATTCTAACAGGTCACTATTACTCTGAATAGTTCTCTGAACTGGAGATGCTTTAGAGGCATTTTTCTAACTCTACCCTTCCATGTATGTTACTTAAGACAATGAACTCTACAGGATCTGAATGACTGTCCATTTCATAAGATGCATAGTAGCAGAAGGCTAGAACCCAGCCTCTTGCTATAAACCCAGTCACTGCCTGGTAACACCATGTCATTGGTGGAAAGGAGTGTGGAGTAGCATTCTGAGATGATGAAAAACACAACAATGTGTTTGTGAACATGTGTTGGTAGTAAGAGTTGATGGTTTAAGAATGAGGGAAGCATCTATTCAGATTCTATGTAAGAGCCTCAAGTCCTCAGGCTTTCAGAGGCAATTGCATTCCAGAGTCCATCCCACATCTTGGTGAGGTATTAAACAGCACAGAGAATCTATGACCTCAGGTTGATCATCCATATATGGTATGATATAGTATAGATCAATCTAAAAGTAATAATGTGAAGCAAAACCAACAAAAATGAACGAGTGTAATGGGCTTCTGGTTCTATGCATAAGAAAGTGTAAAGCATGAGCAAGTAGCGTTCTTTGATACTGTAAATTGAAGTAGCAGCTCCCTTTGTTAGAGTTGGGGAGAGTGTGCTCTTAGTTGGGGGATTGGTAAGCTCAGAGTACAAAAATTCAGTTATGTGTTTATGATGGTGCAGTTCTTGGTATATACACTGTTTTCAATATTAATTTAAATCATCTAGATGACTGAACACAAACTAAATTATCCTGATCAAATTTTTTCTTCTTGGAGCTGGGGACAATTGATTCATCATTTAAAAGCACTTGCTGATCTTCCCAAGGACCTGGTTTGATTCACAGCACCCACACTAGACAGCTCACAACCACAAATAATTATAGTTTCAGGGGCTAAAATATCCCTTTCCTATGTCTGAGGGTACCCACACACATACAGTACATAGAAAAAAATCAGACACATAAATAAAAATGAATGAATATTAAACATAAAAATTTTCTTCTTCATTAAAAGAATGATATAAGATTACATACTGAAGGTAAAATTATTAATGAAAACTAAAACAATAGCAACAATAGTATTTTAACAGTCACATTTAAAAATACTTTTCAGTATAGATTAATAACCTAAATATAATTTGCTCTTCATAGCAAGCATATAAGATTTAGCAAAGAATTTAGTGATCACAAATATAATACTAGTGTGTTAACTGATGATGTCAAGATGAAGATAGACTACCACTAATTATAGACATATTATAAAGTACCAGAGATTAAAAAATAATAAGCTGATTATAAACATGAAGGATTTATCTAAGAGCTTTGTTCATTTGCTTCATGTTACTATAAATTTGAAAGGAGAGTCCTAGGAGGGTATCATTGGATTTGAATTCTATTCTATTTTTATCCATTCAAAATTTAGATGAAAATAAGTAATACTTGGTCTTTTAATTTCCTGAAAGTTCAACAGAAGAAGTAGAATTCTATATGTTCCTGATAGTCTGCCTTGAACAAAGTTAAATTTGTTAGAATAAACCTAAGTTCTCATCTGAGTCATACAAAAGCATCTGGGATAGTAGCAGTAACTAAGACTTCTCAGCTGTAACATGTTGAAACAACAGGGTAAATTCCCTGAAAGACACAGCAGATGAATTAACAATGTGAATAAGACACTAAGAGACTGCACTCTTGATAGCACCAAGGAGGGTGAATGGTTCCATACTTCAGCAAGGTCAGTCAGACCTGCTCTCAGAACTCTTCCCACAAGACAGAATATCTGGGTATCTCCAAGAATGGTAAAATGCTTCTAGATTAAATTCCCAAATATGTTTTAAACTCTTTAAAAGAAGACCCGAGGCATGT